TGAACTGAGAATACAAGCAGGAATGAATGGAGTCAGGGGGTTCTAGGAAAGCACTGGATCTACCGCCTCTGAAAACAAACATCTTCCAGGGAAACAGAGAGCAAGTCCATTTTCAACAGCAGTGTGCCTTGGATGAAAGATATGAACAGCCCGTGCTTGTCAATACGACTCAGTAACACCAGCTACGGGGCCTGCCTGCTGTTCTTCTCTGGAGCACCTGAATGCAGGGGCTGGGAGCTGGAAGGTGGATGCTGTTTTAGGAGGGGAATTGTCTGCTTGCCTTTGGTGAGACCTGATACTACAAGGGGAGCAGCAGCAAGCCTTTGGCAAGGTGATTTGGGTGTAAAGAAGGAACTGTGGTGGAAATGGAACCAATACTTAATTTATTCTAGAATCCAATGACACATGGGATCAAATATTACCTCATCCTATGAAAAATCATCTCAGTTTCTCTGAAGTGAAAAGGTAAACACTTTAATACCACTGACTATTTTTAAATTGAGGTGAAATTCACATAACATAAAATTAACCATTCTGAAGTGAACAATTCAGTGGCATTTAGTACTTCCAGTGTTCTGCAACCATCACCTCTATCTAGTTCCAAAATATATTCATTCTCCCAAAAGAAAACCCTCTGCCTCTTAAGTAGTCATCCCCACCTTCCCCTCCTCTCAGACCCTGGCAACCAGTTATCTACTTTTCGTCTCTGGAATTACCTATTCTGGATATTTTATATAAATAGAAATATACATGACCTTTTATGTCTGGCTTCTTCTACTTTACATGATGTTTCAAGGATCAGCTGTGTTATAGCGTGTATCAGTACTTTATTCCTCTTTATGGCTAGATAATATTCTATTGTATGGATATACCACATTTTGTTTAACTAGTCATCCGTTGATAAGCATTTGGGTTGTTGCTACTTTGGGGTTATTGTCAATAGCAGTACTATGAACATTCATGTATGAGTGTTTGTTTGGAAGCCTGTTTTCAATAACTTTCAGTATATACCCCAGAGTGGAATTGGTGGATCATATGGTAATCCCATATTTAACTTATTGAGGAACCATCACCTGTTTTCTACAGCCTGAACTCTTCTTTTTTAAATCTCTTGAGTTTAAGCACACACAGTGATGTGGCTAAGCAGCTGTTTACACACAGGACGAACAGATTGAACACCAAGCAGTAGCTGGTGCTGTGGAACTGCACAGTGATCAGAAATGGCGAACACCCTCAAGAAGCTCACAGGCTAGGGAGGAAATGAGAAACATTCATAGTTATCATAATTTAGAGACAATAAATCTTATGAGAGGTATAAGGTGACAGGAAGTTCTGGAGCTGGAGGCATGATCTCTCCCTGGGGGCGTGGTGAAGGTCAGCAGAAGGTAGGCTTCATGGAGAAGGTAGCATTTGGATTAAGCCTCAGGAAACGATGGGATGAGGATGAGGGAGAGTGTGGCAGGGTGATGGAGGGAAAGGCATGAAGGACAGATGTGATATAGTAAAGCAGGTGATGTCTACAAAACATAGCTAGTCATGTAGTTTGGCTTAAGTGAAAGGTGCATGAAGGAGACTTAACAAAAAATAATACTGGAAAGGTAGATTACGGCCACAGGCCTTTTATACCTGGCTAGCAAGATAGGAAATTAACCTGAATATTGCTATATACCTAATTGCTTATATGTATACACTGGCAGTGTATCTATCTACCCCTTTGCCTTATACACATGAACACAAGTCCAAGTGCATTTGGGGACCACACTTAGAATTCCTCATGTCATATATAGCCCTTAAGTCATAAGCTCACCTCTTGCTCCCCCAATTACCTTACTCCCAAGGTCACTCTGACCTTGCCATGTCTCTGTCTTTGCTCTCAGATGTGCCTTCCATTGTCTCTAGTGGTTCAATGCTGCACTAAATTGTTAAAATGGCTTTCATGCCTTGGGAGAAGCCTAATATACAGTATTACTATGGAGTGGTCCACCCTGGGGGGAAAAGCTCATCATTTCAGTGGGCTATTGTTTAAGATGGATAAAATGAAAGTTGTCTACAGGAGGGGTTCTCAATAGCCTTCTTTGCCAAGACAGTCTATAAAACCTGCAGTGAAACACAGAGGATACGATGCTTTTGACACAGCTGGACTACATATAACCCACAGCAGCCATCAACATTAAAATCACGGTTGTATAATTATACTTGTATAGGAAGCTATATTAACATTCAGTGGAAATAACTTGCAGAGGGATCTTGTCTCCTTCCGTGTAGACATCTTGTCTACCTACTTCCATGCTGCCTGCAGATGGGAGACTATTACTATCACTGGGGATTTGCTTTCATTAGAAAAGAAAAGTCTCTGCCTCTTTTTGACTGGATGCAAACTAACACATATTAGTACATAGTTATGAGTGTGTGTATGCAAAATATATAGATTAGCGGTCTTCACACTTAAGCCTGCATCAGAATCACCTGGACAGCTTGTTAAAACACAGATGACTGGGCCTCACCCTCAGTTTCTGATTCAGTTGGTTTGGGGTGAGCTCAAAGATTTGCATTTCTAACAAGTTTGCAGCTAATGCTGATACTGCTGGTCCAGCCTGGGTACCACATCTTGAGAACCACTGATAGAAACACTTTTTTAGTTTTGAAGCTGTTGACAGCAGTCAGTTTCTGCATTTATAGCAGAAAAGACCAGAGTCATTTCTCCCATGTATATGTATAAATTGTCTTTTGATTCCCGCAACTGTATTATGGGTTTGCAGCTCTGCCTGTTAGACTCAAGTGCCACTGAATCATTTTTCTTCAGAGTCCTCCCTCCTCCCTCCTTGCCATGGCTTGAATTCATTCCCACACACACACACACACACACACACACACACACACACACACACACACACACACACACACACACACACACACACACCTTCCACATGATTACAGCCTGCTTGGCCCTTCCTAGTCTACCACAGCTACACTATGTGGTTAGAAGAACAATACCAAATCATAAGACAGCTGCACACATTAGCACACATCTACAAGGCTGAGCGTGAGAACTTTAAAATGACCTCCTCTCACAAAATCAAGCTATGGGTAAAAAAGGCAACAAAATGAAAAATACCCCCTTACCCTCAGCTCTAGAGTGGTTTATTTTAGCTCCTGGTGATGATAGTTAATCACTATATTCTTACTGCCATAACGCGTAATATAGTGGATTCTATGAACACTAGCTAGTGTGCAAAGGTTGGAGGAAATCTTTGGGGTGGGTAAAATGTGGAAGAGAGAGATTTGCTTCAGAAACATTATTATTATAGTATGCCACAGAAGCAGCCGAAACTGGCCCTTCCTGTCTCCTAAATTTGTAGCAGACAGAGAGGAAAGACACACACACACATATATATCTATGTCCATGTGTGCATTTATATGTGTAGATAGAGTGATTTGGTTCTCCAGTTGGTCATTCTGAAGGATTCTCAGCCAGAGAAAATAAACCAAATGAAGCCAGCCTGGGTGGGAGGAGTTGACTTATCTGGGATTTTATTAAGATAGAGCCCAATGCATTTCATTTAATATTATGTAGACCTTGATTTGAGGTTTGTTAATGTCATCATGTATGACAAAGACATAGCAAAGCACTTTAGCAATTGCTCCCCTTGAGAAAAGAACTATTTAGAGATAGGGTCAAGTTGTGTGGGCTGATTAACTAAAGATTATCTGGTACAAACTGTCCACCACCTTGAAAGAAATTGATATACACATCATTAACCCATCAAGATTTCTACACAAGGGGCCTCTTATCAAAAGGTCATCTAAGCTATGATAAAGTATGACAAATAGCAAGGGAACAGTACACTAGAGTATACAGTGGGGAAACTGCCCACTACACGTGAAGTTATAGCCAGGAGAAAGGCTTACCACACTGGTGCTCTATCTTGCGTACCCCAACAATTTAAACAACCTTGGGCCGTAATCTGAAAAAACAACTTTCTTTCAATTGTCAGCTGGGGCTGCTCAACCCATTTGCTCTCCGATTTTACGAACTTATATAAAGACTTCACAATGGTGGTAAGCTGCCGGCTCAATTCTGGAACCTTGTTTCTGCCTTTGGAGTCTTCCGTATGAGTTTATATGAACAAATGTGTGCCTTGCACATAGTAGGAGCTCAAAAAATGTGGAACTTGAAATAAAGGCTAAGTGGCTCCATGACAGGGACTTTACAGATCTCAAAACTTTAAATGACGGAAACCATTGGGCAGGGGAACACTTATTCATCTAAGTTTCTTGGGGGTAAGTTTGAACTTGCTCAGTAGGCTGGTCCTGTCTAGGGAAAAGCAGACTGTTAATCCCCGTGGGGCGTCATTCCTCATGACAACAGGGTAGGTCAAGTCACAAGACCCATGAACAGGTATTGACCGTAGAAATAGCTTTAGAACCTACACTGAACACTACACACTGCTGGCTCACAATGAGCTGAAGCCCCTAATGAATGACCACTCAGGCATTTTCCATATTGGCTTTTGAAGAGCTCATTTTAGCCAGACAGGTCAAATAAATGGCATCAGGGGCTTAGAAAGGAATCAATGGCTTCAAATAAATAAATGAACTGTTCTGGTTTATTTTATTGCTGACAGCAGCATATAATTAGCTTTGTGGATCCCTATTTTCA